CTTTTAAGTGCCTTGGAAGAGTGGGTAAGTGGGAGGTGCTTGTGTTTAAGTAGGGGCTGGATGGCGGCGGGGGGGGGGGGACTTGGAGCGGATGGGCAAAAGCCTCTCTGAGGGGGTGTTAGTAATGCTGAGACTTGAAGAGTTAGGGGAGATGCCCACCTGAGGAACACCCCAAGGTGTGCACAGGAAAGAGCCGGGCTGCTGTGCAGGGCCAAGCAAAGGCTATGTCACTGCCACACAGCATGAGGGGCACACAGAGCAAGAGTCAGAGTACGAGGTGTGGTCTGGTGTGCAAGACCTGGGCATGAGGGTAGCTGAGATTTTATTTGAAATGCATTGGAGACGTCAGTGAAGTTGTTTCAACAAAGGACGAATGAGATTAGGTTTTTCTTCCACTTTTTTTTTTTTTTTTAAAGATTTTGAAGTTTATTTGAGAGAGAGAGGGAAAGAGAGGGGAGAAGGTCAGAGGGAGAAGCAGACTCCCCGCGGAGCTGGGAGCCCAATGTGGGACTTGATCCTGGGTCTCCGGGATCATGACCTGAGCGAAGGCAGTGACTTAACCAACTGAGCGACCCAGGCGCTCTTTTCTTCCATTCTTACGACTCTGTGAAAGCAGATGGGAATTGGAGGAAAGCTGGAGGCAGGAGAGGTCACTGGGGTCTGACACATTTATGGGCAGGTCCTGCTGGGCTCCACATTTGAGTGGCACTGTGGGGGTAACTCTTGTTAAGAGCCACTGGGCAGACGGTGTACCTAGTAGAGAAGCAGGACTGGTTCGGAGAGACACAGTCAAGAGTTCCATTTTACATGTGCTTGGAAAAGCCAGGTTGGCAGTGAATTATCCCCATTTGGAGTGGGCAGGAAAGGCCTGGACTTGAGATGGAATTTGGAAGCCTTTAGCACATCCACAGTGACTCTAAGCCGTGGAAGGCATTGCAGTTATTTAGGGAAAAAATACGGAAGGAGGGCCCGGATGGGGCTCAGAGGGCTAATGGAGGGATTTTTAAATGCAAAATTTTTATATGAGGAGACTTTTTAAAATCCAGTGGGTTAAGAGCCGAATCCAGGCCTAACATAAAAGCTGCACCTCAGCAAGGCGCTGTGTCCCCCTTTCCCAGGAGTCCCTCTTGAAGGATGGAGTCCAAAACCGCAGCACCTGGTCGGCTTCACGTGCGCGTGGCATTTTGTGTTTGCCATTCCGTTAGCGGTAGGCACAGTAGCTTCCCCTGAGCTGGCTCACTCCCTCTTTCACTGTCACAGCCTCTTGGGCTTAGCGCTCTTCTGCTCAGCATTTTGTCGTCAAAGCAGTACAGCTTTTACTCTCCAAAACTCAAATGGTCTAAAAAAGGAAAGTCTTACTGTAATCATATCATTGTGTTCTAAGAAAGCAGTGGATGTTGCTAATGTCCGACATCTTAGCACATCCCCTCTGATCGCAGCATGTTATTCAGACTCCTGTCCTCATGAAAACATTTTTGTTCCGTGATGAATGCCTGTACTACTTCCAGACATTTCCTGAGAAACACTAGGCCATCAGATAAAAGTAGTGATTTTTTCAGAATGTCTCAGATCTGCCTCTGAGGAGGTTAAAAACTTCACTTCCAGGAAAGGTGGATGGAAGCACCCAGTGTGCGTGTGTCATGTGGAGTTGGCTGGCCTGGGGCCTGCCCAGGAGTCTGCGCCAGCCCCAGCTCCCGCCCCCTCACTCACACCACGCTGGCCGCTTGTCTCAATCCCCCCACGCCCCAGAGCAGACAGGCAGCAGGGGTACTGACACTCATGGGCCCCACATCAGAAAGTAAATTACCCCAACAGGGATTGTGCAGATGCTCTCTCTCTAGACTTAAAGGTAATTTGAATTGGGAAGGGAAGCTATAGCTTTCTGGGAGTTTGCAGTTTAATGGCCTTGATTTTCCTAAGCCCGCCCAAAAGAACTGTGTGTCACATTTCTTTCCTTTTCCTGCAGCTGAGAACGGTGATGGTATCCACATAGTTTTGAAGTGATGTTGTACTTAGTCTGAACTATATTCAGTACCAAATAAAGTCACGCTTAAAAGTGTGTGAAGACTGAATCCAAGAAGTCTTGGGATTGGATTTTACCGTATGAAATGTTTCATATTGAAAACACAAGATGACCTTTCTAATGAGCTGTATGAGAGGCGAATCTCCTCACTGTCACTGCCATAGCCAAGCATCCTCGTGAGAGTGAGCACGTCGGGACAGCATGCGTGCGGCTCTGGGGCCACGTGCCAGCGGGGCTGCCTGCTTCTCTGGCAGAGGCCAGTAGATACAGTTCCTAGAAGCAGCCTTTGCTGTCTTTTTACACTGTATGCGGTTTGGAAATGAATGTAAAAACGTACTGTGGGCATTTACCTTTCTGTGCCAGTTTGGCTTTTATTGCCTGAACCTTATGCTGACCCAGAGCAAGGGTGGGGGACAGTGCTGTCGTGGAGCCAGCACGGAATCTGTCTGCAGATGCGATGTGCCGAGACCATGATCAGGGGTCAGGTAAGAGGCTTGGCACCTTCTCGGAAGAAATCATGTCTAAGGGTGTGTGTGACGGGCTTGTGCCAGATCGGGAAAGATCCGAGCCAGGAAGGCGGGCTTGAAGCAAACTGCATTATCAAGAGTACCTTGGTGAGAGGATCAGTGTAAATCCTAATAGGTACAAAGACTTTTGTGTTTTTGCTTTGTCACAGATTATTGAAAACCTTTTGCTTCTGCTTCCATATTTAGAGTTTTGTTTCTGGTTTTCATTTTTGAAGTCCCTTGCCTTTTAAACTTGTGTGGTATTCCTCCCTTTCTCTGTCCCTCCCCTCCCCACCCCACCCCACCCCACCCTGTTCCTGAATGTTTTTAAAGCCTTGTCCCAGACAATGGAAACTGGTGACCTAGGTAGGGGGAAATGTATGGTCGTTTCTGACTTGCTGTTAAGGGGTCTTCATTATCAACAAGTTGAAATTATTTGTGGCAAATGAGATGTCATAAATGAAACACTAAATTGTACCATAAAAATACCCCACACTTTTGAAATATGAGCTTTAGTACAATCATGGGTAAATATTTTGGTGATTATTTAAGAGGCTTTCTTATATACCACATAATAACTTTTTTCTATAAAATGGGTGCCTCTTCCACAAAACCAAATGCTTGTTTGCCAGTACACTTCTCAAAGGGAGTCCACTGCTTTTGCAATTTTCCTTTCTTGCTTCCCTCTGCCCGAAGCCTTCCCCATGCACACCAGCAAGCATCTGTGAGGCCTGTGGTGTAGCGGACTTCTGTTTGCCTTTAACTATAGCAGCTCTGACCAGTTACCCAGCTGTCTTGGTTCTGAATGTGTTTATTTGAATCTTACCTTTGTTCAGGCAGAAATAGGAATGAGTAATTTAGGCTTTGAAATCCCCCAGAAGACAAATTACTTCAGTGGGTAAAAGCTTTGACCTGTTGTGTTTAATTCTTAAAGGGTTATTGGATACAGAGAAGCCCAGTCTCTAAATATTTTCATCTTCAGTTTGAAAATATCTGTAACTCCTCTAGACCCTAAAAGCAGAGGAACTTTCTGTCATCTCCCTTTGCTTCCATATGAACACGTTTTCTGTACCAACCACTTGAAAGAAGTGAGCATATCTGTTTTTGCTTGTCTGTTTAGCATTCCTTTTTGAGTCTCAAAGATACACGGAAATAAATGTCATTTAATGCTGTGTGCTATTTTGAATTCCTCATCAGGTTTTAAAAGCTCATTGAACTTGAAATTATACCAAGCAGCATTGACCATTAGTCTGTCCCAGTGAAGCAGGTTAAATTATGGCACCAGCAAATTTGCTACTTTGTTTTTTTAATAGTAGGATGTATACATTTCAGTATAATAAATGTTTTCCGATTGTTTTGCAAATGCGTGTCTCATTTAAAATCACACTTCCTAATGGTGTCCCCTCAAGTCCTGGAATCTGAGGGGGTTCCATGCATGTGTTCTGAGCACCCCCAAGTCCACATGTTGTAAGAGGCAAGGCCTCTATGTTGTGTTCTTTCTGGTTTGTTTTCTCAAAGATGATGCAACTGAGGACAAATTATTCCACGCACTGTTCCACACCTACAGAGGAAGCAAACCTGATTTTCTCATCTGAGAAACCTCACCTGAGCTGCTCTTGTCTTCTAATGAGGTCATAGGTCATTGAGGAATGAGTCAGTAACTCTGATAGGTTGTGTCCTGGCTCAAAAGAGACCGTATAGAAAGCCGTGGTCATAGAAATTTTTAAAAACAGAGACTATAATTTACTGACACAAGTCTGTGTTTTATGCTATTTAAATAGCTTCTTGCATCAGTCATACCCCCACACATAGTGGTGTAAATGTATATTAAAATAACCGCTGTGGTATATACGTGCACATTCTAGACCAGGAAAAACTAGAGGATCTCGCCAGGTGGTGAGGTCATCAGGGCTTGAACGCTTATTCTGATAATCTTGTTAACTTAAGGGGTCATGTATGCACCTTCCTTCTCTTCTGCTGTACCCTAAATGCTCCTAAATGGTCCATCTGTTGGAGGCACCACTGGTCACGGACAAGTGCCGTGTCGGGTTCGCTGTTCCACTCCAGCCTCCCGTGAGCTGTGAGTTCTGTGCTCTTCATGGTGGGGAACGGCTGCTAGGAAGTCTGAAGTTCACTATGTGAGAGTGGCGATGGGTTCCTGATTTTCATAAATATCACATATGTGGACAGCACAGAATGGAACTAGAGCTTACCTGATTCTAGATATTAGGGAGGTCTGAATTTGGAAAATGGTTTTGCTCAGATTTGTCTGCCATGAAGATTATAGCAATAAAACCCTCTGACTTAAGCTTTGCAATGGTTTATTCATTTTTATATTAAGATTCTAAAAGGTGCCAACACTTTACTGAGCTGAGTTTTAAGTGTGTACAATTTTGGAATAGTTCCGGTGTAACGATTTCTAAGATTTTAAAATAAACTTGGAAAAAATCACATCCATTCTACATGCATCCATTCATTATTTTTAATTGATTATATATATTATAGATAACTTAAGCCTTAATTCTATTTCTTTAAGGTCCCCCAAATTTTATGAGAGATGACACGATTAGCTTTTCTCCTAGAACAAAAATGCACTCTGCAGTAGCACCTGCCACAGCTTATTTCCAGTCAGGCAACACAGACTCGGTTGTTTCTGTCTAGCTTTTGGTCCCCGAAAGAGTGTATGACAAGTTGATAGAAAGGTGAAGGCCCTGCTCCACCCAGTTCAGAGTCCTCATTTCTTTGGTGTCTCACGGAAACCTAACTTGCCTTCCACCTAAGTCTACATATAAAACTCTCAGGTATCACAAATTTGCAGTACAGGTCACTTTGAGAAAGTTACTATTTCATCTTCAAAGTGGAAAAGTCCTGCTAATCCAAATGAAATCACTGTGAATTAAAGTAGGCCACTGGCTTCAGTATCAGGTAGAAAATCAACAGCTTGGTCTTTCTGCTCAGTTTGTGCTAACACTGATGGTCTAAGGAGTGCTGACAAAGCCAACAGCAGGACGCTGGTACCTAAGAAGGCACCCACCTCTTAAGAGATCCAGGTCTCCTTTGTGGTCCAGGCTGTGCTGAGACCACTCTTGCCATGTGCTGGCAGACACAAGGCTTTGATTCGATTGTATCGTAGCAGAATGAAGGTGAAAACTATCACCAGAGTTACTGCAATCCCTACTGAAGTCTTTTACCTGTAAATGTCTTTCCCAATGGAGAACCAAGAGATCTGGGTGAAGGCGGAGCAGGAAGACCCTGGTCTTCTCTGGAGGAAGGGACACCTCATCGTGCCTTGGACTCAGGCAGTCGCCGTCAGAGAATGACACAGCACCTGCACAGTCGCTGTCCACTTCCTCCCACTGCTGTCGGGGGGGTGACAGGAGCAAAGTAGGCATGGACTTTGACATGAGGGAGCTGAGCCTGGAGGCAGAAAGCAGACAGATGTGGAGTAGTCATTACGTGTGTATTTGAGGATTACAGGCACAATCCTAGACAAGCCCGCAGTTTGCCTGTAGAATTGACCCTCCTTGATTTTCAGGCAGATAGTTCAAATACAGTTTCTCATATAGGCTAGAGCTATTCCTGTTTACATACATATCCTTCTGAAGTGAGGAGACCCGAATATCTGCCCTGGGGGCAGTCACTGGTCCTGTATGGACACTGAGTGCATCCTTGCAGCCGTTAGCACCTGGGGCAGCTCTGGGAGGTAAATGCAAAGCTGCTCAACGTAAAGTGTATTCAAGAAAACTGAACTACGTGGGACAAGAAAAGCCATGTTCTATCTAAGCCCTGTTCTCTGGAAGTTAACCAAGACCATGGTCTCCTTCCTGCTGGTAATGACTGTAAGTCTCACTCCCTACAAGGGTCTGATCACCAGACTCTAGAACCTCTGTCCCACACCCATTCTGGAAGTTGAATTGGCCAGAGTAAGATCTAATAAGGAAATTTTGAACAAGAAGACACTTGTAGAACATCACTATAAGCTTAGGATAAAATGTGGAAGATGGAGTCTTGACATACTCTTGTTTGCTTAGGAAGTGTGCCAGCCCTGCCTTACCCGCATCCGCTTGATGCCTGCGCGGGTAACCTGCTGGCAGTCGTACAACTCGAGGCGCTCCAGGCCGCGGCAGTTCTCCAGGTGCTCCAGGGCCACGTCGGTGATGAGGAGGCAGTTGTCCAGTTCCAGTACCCGCAGCCTGTCGTGACCACAGGTGCTGTTGCTCAGGTGCAGGATCCCGTCATCTGTGATGAGCTCACAGTGGGACAGACTCTAGAACAAGGAGACACGCGTGGATATCTGAGAGACCTGCTCTTTCCAAGGCTCCGGGCCTGGGCTGGGCAGTACCCTATGGTAGCCGCTTATCACCAGAGGATTAAACACAAAATCGGGGTCCTGTGGCCATGGGTTTGCTGCAGCTCTTGGTGGCTGCTCTCATCTTTCCAATTATGTAAAGATAGAAATCAAATTGCAGGTGATGATACAGTTGAAGCGGACAATGTGAAAGGATCCTGAACTCACCTTTCATAAACTCCCCAATTCTCAGCTACATAAAGGACAGCCTACTCTGAAAAAACAAAAACAAACTCTAAAAACTGAGTGACTCCTACATATTGAGTGAATGAGAGAAGGTCCAGGTCACAGGGTAGGTGAAGCTGGGACACAATCTTGCCATAATTCCCACTCCCAATGCAGAGACTCACAGCTGGAAGGGAACTCAAAACCTGGAGTTTGTCCCTGAGGAGCAAAGGGCTTGAACCCCATGTTGGGCAACCCAGCTCTTAAGATCTGTACCTGAAAGGCCCCTAAAATAGCTAGCTTTGGAAACCAACAGGCTTACATCCCCGAGACCCACAAGACTAGCAATCCCAGCAACAGCTCTTAAAGGGCTCACACATGTGGACTCACCCACCTCAGGGCCCAACCCAGACGTGGCCCATTCAGAGGTGTCTGGACTTTGTGTGGGAGGGTCTTGTTTACTTGTCTTGGACACTGGCCTGAGGGTCAGGCACCTGATCTGACACATTTGGGGGCATGCTGGGGTACTCTAGGTATAGGGACTAGTGGGCACCCATCTTTGTGCACCCCCTCTATCTTGCTCCAACTGGTGGATGCTTAAAAACAAAACAAAAAACACTCTAGGCTTTTTTTTTTTTTTCCTTTTTCTACTTTTCTTTCTTAGTAGGCACCATCTCTACACTCTCCTCAGTCACTCCCCAGCTAGTGGGTGCCAGTTTCTCCCTCTCCCTCTGCTGTACTTGAGAACACCATTCTCCCTCAGGAAGGAACTTTTACAGGTGTCCCGTGCCCTGGTTTTACATCTGGTACCTTGGTTTTTGCAGCTGTTGCTAGAGGACATCTTTGCATTTCCTGGCTCTGGGGGCCCATGGGGCTTATGCTGGTGGGCCTCACAGGACTGTAACCAACAGAGAAATAGTTCTGAAATGGCCAGTATCCCCAGGGCACAGCAAGAGACAACAGGCCCAGGAATTCAGTCTGTAAAAGAGGACTAATAGCTTATTATCACAGACACCTGGGTGCATAGTCGCTTAAGTGCCTGTCTTCTTCGCTCAGGTCAGGATCCCAGGATCCTGGGATTGAGTCCCACATTGGGCTCCCTGCTCAGTGGGGAGTCTGCTTCTCCTCTGCTACTGCTCCTCCTGCCTGTGCTTTCTCTGTTCCTCTCTGATAAATAAATAAATGAAATCTTTAAAAAAAAATAGCTTATCATCATAGCTGCAGCTGAGGGGCAGGCTTCAGATTAAACACATTTTAAGGGCTGGCTAAACTTACTGGAGACCTCTGGGGGACCCCAGGATGTCTTGGAGGGAAGATTTTATAGGCATCTTGTGTCCCATTTTTACTTCTGGTGCCCTAGTCTTTGGGGCCTTCCACTCAGGGATGCTCCTTGATCACCTAGTTCTGAGAAGATGCTGAATTCCCCTCCTATAAGCACCCCAATTCTACAGCTATAATAGAGGAAAGAAAGTGAAGATGGTATAAGAGACTTAAGGGACAACATGAAGTGGACTAACATTCATATCATGGGGCTCTTGAAAGGAGGAGAGAGGAAAGGAACAGAAAAATTATTTCAAAAAATAATGGCTGAAAGCTAACCTGGGGGGAAAAACAGAATGCAAATCCAGGAAGTCTACAGAGTTCTATAAATATGAACCCCAAGAGATGCACAGCAAGATAAATTATAATTAAAATGTCAAAAGTTAAAGAGAATCTTGAAATCAGGAAAAGAAAAACTTGTTATGTACAGTGGAACCCCCCCATAAGACTATCAGATTTTTTTTTTTTTTGCAGAAAACACAGGACAGAAGGCAGTGGCATGACACATTCAAAGTACTGAAAGAAAAAAACACTTCCAGTCAAGAATACTCTTAACTAACAAAATTATCATTCAGAATTGGAGTAAGAGTTTTTCAGACAAGTTAAAGCTAAAGGAGTTAATTACTTTACTAAACCAGCTTTACAAAAAATATTAAAGGGACTTTGTTGAGATGAAAGGACAGGGCACTAAATAAAATGTGAAAGTATAAATCTCACTGGCAAAGGTAAATATATAGAAAAGATGTAATGGGCGAATCATTTATAGAGCTATTAGGAAGGCTAAAAGACAAAAGTAGTAAAATAAAAACAACAAAACCCAAACTACAAACAAGTGATACACGAGATGAAAAGATGTAAAATGTAACATCAAAAACAAAATGGAGGAGGGAGGTAAACACATAGAACTTTAGAATGTATTCAGATTTAAGCTATTATAAAATAGACTGATACAAATATAAGTTGTTATATGTAAGCCTCCTGGTAACCCCAAAGTAAAAACCTATAGTAGATACACAAAAGATGAAAGAAATTAAGTGTACTACTATAAGTCATTAAACCCAAAGGAAGAAAACAAAGGAACATAAAGGAACTACAAAACAGCCTGAAAACAATTAACATAATGGCAATAAGTACATAGCTATCAATAATTACTTTCTATGTAAATGAGCCAGATTCTCCAAACAAAAGACAAAGAGTTGGGGCATCTGGCTGGCTCAGTCAGTTAAGCATCTGCTTTTGGCTCAGGTTATGATCCTGAGATCATAGGGATCTCAGGGATCAAGCCCAGTAGCAGGCTCCCTGCTCAGTGGGGAGCCTGCTTCTCCTTCTCCTCACTTGGGCTCTCTCACTATCTCTGTTGCTATCTCTCTCTCAAAATTTTTTTAAAAGATTTTATTTGAAAGAGAGACAGCGAGAGAGGGAACACAAGCACGGGGAGTGGGAGAGGGAGAAGCTGGTTTCCTGGTGAGCAGTAAGCCTGATGCAGGGCTTGATCCTAATACCCCGGGATCATGACCTGAGCTGAAGGCAGCCGCTTAATAGCTGAGCCACCCAGGTGTCCCTCAAATTAATAAAATCTAAAACAAAACAAAACAAAACAAAACCCCAAAAACAAAAGACGCAGAGTGCCTGAATGAATTTAAAAAAAAAAAAAAAGACCCATTTATATGCTGCCTTTAAGAGACTCACTTCAGGTGCAAGGACACACACAGACTGAAAGTGAAGGGATGAAAAAAGATAGCCCATACAAATAAAAACCTCCAAAAAAGTTGGAGGTAGCCATAATTACATCAGACAAAATAAACTTTAAAACACTATAATAACAAAGGACAATACGTAATGATAAGGCATCAATCCAACGAGAGCATAAATATTGGTAAATATTTATGCACCCAACATAGGATCAACTTAAAATATATAAGGCATATACCAACAGACCTAAAGTAATAGCACCAGTAATTAGAGGACTTTAATACCCACTTATATCAACAGGTAGATCATCCAGACAATATCAGTAAGAAAACATCAACTGTACACACAATATGATGGAACAGATGGACTCAATAGATATATACAGAACATTCTATCTAAAAGCAGAATACACATTTTTCTCAAGTGTACATGGAACGTTCTCCAGACCAGATCATATGTTAGAACACATAAGAAATCTTAATATGTTGGGGCACCTGGGTGGCTCAGTGGGTTGAGCCTCTGCCTTCGGCTCAGGTCATGATCTCAGGGTCCTGGGATCGAGCCCCGCATCGGGCTCTTTGCTGGGCGGGGAGCCTGCTTCCTCCTCTCTCTCTGCCTGCCTCTCTGCCTACTTGTGATCTCTGTGTCAAATAAATAAATAAAATCTTTTTAAAAAAATCTTAATATGTTTAAGATTAAAATCATTATCAAGTACTTTTCCAACCATAATAATATAAAAGTAGAAATAATTACAAGAAGAAATGTGGAAAATTCACAAATATGTGGATATTTAACATGTTACTGAACCACAAACAAACGGGTCAAAGAAGAAATCAAAAGAAAAATGTAAAAAATGTCTTGAGACAAATGAAAATAGAAATGTAAAAATCAAAATTTATGGGATGCAGCAAAAGCAGTTCTAAGGCAATAGTTCATAGCAATAAAGTCCTACCTCAAGGAATGAGAAAAGTCAAATAACCTAACTTCAAACCTTAAGGAACTATGGAAAGATGACAAAGCCCAAAATTAGTAGAAGGGAGGAAATAAAGATTAGAGAGGATGTGAATAAAAGAGACTAAAAAGACGGGACTGGAGGAGATTATGCTGAATGAATTAAATCAAGCAGAGAGTCAATTACCATATGGTTTCACTTACTTGCGGAGCATAGGGATAACACAGTGGACATTGGGAAAAAAAGAGGAGAAGTGAGTTGGGGGAAATTGGAGGGGGTGACAAACCATGAGAGACTGTGGACTCTGAGAAACTAAGGGTTTGGGAGGGGAGGGGAGTAGAGGGTTGGGTAAGCCCGGTGGTGGGTATTATGGAGGGCACGTATTGCATGGAGCACTGGGTATGGTGTATAAACAATGAATCTTGGAACACTGGGAAAAAAAAAGACAACCGAAAAGATCAATGAAACTAAGAGCTGGTTTATTAAAAGATAAGCAAAACTGACAAACCTTTAGTTAAACTCACCAAGAAAAACAAGATGACTCAAATAAAATCAGAAATGAAAGAAATTATAACTGATATCACAGAAATACAATAGATCATAAGAGACTATTAAGAACAATTATATGCCAACAAATTGGACAACCTAGAAGAAACTGGTAAGTTCCTAAAAACAAAGGCCAACCAAAACAATAATGAAGAAATAAAAAATCTGAACATACTGATTACTAGTAAGGAGATTGAATCAGCAATCAAAAACCTCCCAACAAAGAGAAGTCCAGGACCAGATG